GCCTATTGACCATTTGCCCACTACTATTTCTTAATAAGGAAGATGTAATGTAGAAAACATCTTTCAAGTGCCCGTATAGGGTCAAATAAAAAGATGAAATCTCCATATTATGTAAAGGAGAGGACCACAGCTCAAGTTATTTCTACGTACCACAAGGAGGAGCTCACTTAATTACCAGTCTCAGCGAAGATTTCCCTACTTTATATGCAGGTAAAGCAACATTCTGAAGAGATCAAATAATGTGTTTTTTGCAGCTTGATCCCATGATTTTAAAGCAAGTAAAATTGTATTATAGTGAAAATTTCACCCAAATACCCTTCACTGCTTAAGTAATGCTAAAGTGTTCATAACTAGACCAGGTATCTGTTACATAATCATACACAGTGAGCCTAAGTGTACTCACATTACTATGACTGATTTTGTTGAATGAACTTAAATTTTTATTTAGCAAGAAATATTAATTGATATGTAAGCATTTTTTATTTATTTGTCCCATCAGTCATTAAAACTAAGTTACTCAATATGTACTATGTAGTAGGCAAAAATTGCAGTAGAAACTATGGATTTAGAATATCTTGTAATTACAGACATACCTCAGTATCTGCAGGAAACTGGCTCCAGGAACCACTGCAGATACTCAAATCTTTGGATGCTCAAGCCCCATAGTCAGCCCTCTGGTATCTGTGGTTCTGCATCAGTGGATTCAACCAACCACAGATTGTCTAGTACTGTAGTACTAACTGAAAAATGCCACAGAGGTGTAAGTGGACTCTTGCAGTTCCAACCCTTGTTGCTCAAGGGTAGATGGTATATAATTCTCATTTGGAAAATTATTGTTTATATTTTACAATTTGAATTAGAAATTGATCTTTGAAATATTTAAATACATCCAGCATTTGAGGAAAGTTTTAATATTTTAAAGTTAATCATGCACATTTACTATACTAAATGTCACAAACATAGTGATAAAAAGAACTATTATTAAATAAGTTGCATCATACATAAATACACAAAACTGGCACATATTAACATTTTTCAGAGAAAATGAAAAGGAGTGATTTGAATAGTAAATGCTAAATGTCTTGAGGGAGAAAAAAATGAGAAAGAAAAATAGAGATCAGCTGTGTAGTGGGGCAATAGACTTCTTGATTTTGGCATTTAGGAGTTATTTTAATCTTTTATTCTGACTAAATCTCTTGTTACATCCTGTCCTACTGCATAAAATCAACATTACGCACACACACTTTACCCAGTACCTAACTTAGCTCTCCTGGAAATTCTTAATGTAGTTTCTATCCTTTATTCTACCATAGATACCCTCAAGTATTGTCTTTGAACCTATATTCCCTTATTGTTATTTTGTTATTTCAGTCAATTTATTTTTCCCATTATAGAAGCTATGTCCACCAAATATATATAGTTTGAAACATATGCAAAAATAGAAAGATAACTCCTGTCTATAAAGTTTTATTCTCCAACACAATCACAACTGGATTGCTTGACAAATTTAATTGAAATACTTTGTGAGTTTTCTTCCTAGGACCCTTATTTGGGTCTTTGATCTAGATTCATTGCTATATAGTGGTTACTGAGGCACCATGTAATTCCCCCTTCTGGGACCTAAAACATTTTGCTTTAAATATTTGTTAAACTGCCTGCCTTTGTTCAGCCTTCCACCTCCACCCCAACTCTGATGAGATTATAGACTCTAAAAAAGCGAAGACTCTGATTCAAATATCACTGTATTCCTAAAATGTAGTAAAGTATTGTGCACATAGTAGGGTTAATAAATATTTGTTCCATATATGAGTCATGATCATAAAAGTGTAATCCTGATTTTGCAATTAACATAATGGCATAAGTATTCCTCCAAGTTACATTATTTACTTTTAAGTATTTTTATGTGTTTCACCATCTGTTCATTGCGTAAAAATCAATTTCAAGATTGTTGGACACTTTGACTTAAGTTTATCACTGCCATAAACCAAGGTTCTTAGCAGTGCAATCTCCCTCACCAATTCCTACTATTCCTACTACTTGCTTCCTCTTCACTTCTATAAACTACAACTAAATCTGCTTAAAAAAGAAAAAAAAGACAACAAGGTCCTAATTCAAAAACTAATGAGCATTCAAAGCTAATGAGACAAATCCTAAAACTTCCTCTGTGCTTCTTTATTCCTGTTGGCTTATTTTTTTAATTTAATGACATCACAGTAAGCATGAAAGTCCTTCTTCCTCCTCTTTAAAAATATGGCCTCTTTTATTCTAGTTAATTTTAAAATTTACTTTATCACTCTAATCACTACATTTTACATAAAAGCATTGAAGAGAACATGAAGAAATGTTCTATCTTTAAATCTGTTATTTTAATCAAATCTGGTGATTTATTCACTAATATGATTAATATGACCAGCCACAGTATTATGCAAGGTACTGAGGCCCAGATTAGTGAGATGAGCAGACATGTAAACCAAAACTGATTACACACTTCAAGATCAGGGCTATCAACCAAAATATGGAAAGTATGAAAATATAAGGAGTCTTTATTTTCTGTATGAGGGCTTTCATTTTAGGAAATGATTTAGCAGAGTCACTGGTAAGAGAGCTCTCTAAAATGGAGCCAGGAGTCCACTGAAGAAGTGGGACTTATGCAAGTCTCAGCGCAGATAGAACTGGAAATTTTGACCACTTTTCGTTTTAATACTGACATTCAGAATATTTGTACAGTGTTCCAGAAATTCGGGATATTTATAGGACCTTTGCTCTAAATAACTCATGACAGCCTATCCCTTAATGACAAATATTTCCTTTTTGCATTAGAGCTGATCATAATTCTTGCAAGACAACTTTAACAACCTGTGACTTTTGCCTTTATTAACTCCTTTATATTTCTCTTCCCCAGAACACTTTTTCTATTTTACCAGAATCTGTGTTTCCCTAATTGGCAATTCCTAAGACCCCCCAATAAAGCTTTTTTTCTCTTTGCAGCCTTGATACTGATTATTGTTGGACACAAGCAAGTTAATTTTGTATATTCTAGAAAGGGAAGAATTTGAATTGACAATCAGAAATCTATATTTTAGTATATAGAAATATCCAAACTAAGTTACCAAAAATGAAAAACCATCAAGTGTGCAAATCTATATAAGCATTGCCTCTTCACTTATTTTTAAAAAGCTATTTGAAAGCTTAATAAATTGCCAAGCAACAGTCAATTACATATCAGGAAGGGACTTCTGTACAGCTCAGAAAGGACTAAAACTTGGTTTGTCATTATTGTCTCTGAAAACATGAATCAGTTTAAAACATTTTTTTGTGTGTCCTGGAATGATATCCCTATCAGTTGAGAGTTCTGGGTTTCTATGCAAATATTGTTACCTGAGTATATCAGAAATTTCCTTTCAGAATCATCTTCAAAGTGGGGACAGATCAAAGTGCAGGGTCCTAGATCAAAACAAGCAATGCCTTTTAAAAAACTCTTATTTTTGCTGTAGTTCAAAGCAAGTTAATAAATGCTATCTCCTCAACATCATTATAGGGAAGAAAAATTTAACATTGGCCCTCTCATCGGCTTACCTTGAAGTTGAAGAAGGACTTGTAAAACAGTAGAAAAGTAGGAGACTGTATTGTTTCATGTCCTGAAGAAAACAGAAACAAATGCTTGTGCTATAAAAAGTAATTAAATGTATATAATGGAAACCCTTGTACAATCTTTGTCCATACATACCTCTGTCTCAGCTCTTCTCACATTGAACTATGATAACATGCTTATATTTCATTTTATTTACTGTGTCATAAACCTCTTAAAGGAAGGGACAATATCTTTTTTATCTTTGTTTCATTAGCACCTACAGCAAATATCTGCCTCACAATAGCTCCTTAATAAGTGTTAAAAGGAACTGAGGAAAAAAAGAAAGTCTCTTTGATAACAGAGTGTTTTTGAATAAATGTGTCATGAGAACTTTACCTGGTAATTAATTGTGTCATATGTAGAACCTGAAAGGATTTGTAAATGGACTGTTCAAATAACATTTACTCTGGGGTATTTTTCCATCCATTTAAGTAATTGCATATATTTTACCTTAGAGTATAAAAACAACTCAAAATGCCACTATCACATCAAAGACATAAAACTTCAACTTTTAGTTTCCTTTAAAAATGCAGTTGTTTCACCAATATTTAAAAATTCATAAATTGAAATTAGACACTCCTTTAAAAATGTAGTCATTTCACCAATATAAAAAAAATCATAAATTGAAATTAGTCATTTACATGAACTTAAGTGAATTACACAAAGCTCTAAATAAAACAGAAATTCCCATATGAAATGCATTCTATTTTTTACATTTTTTATGAATAAACAAAATAACTGAATTATTGGTATTTCATATGGACCAAAGTGAATTCTTAGGCCAGTTGTGTAAAAATCTGTTATGTATTCATGACAGTATCAACATTTAATAAGATTAGAGCAGCAAATAAGCCAAACATATTATACATAGATATGATTTGAAAAATATTCTATAGACTTTTAATAAGGTTTAAAGATTTGATATTTCACAGAATATTGTCTCATGAGATGTCCCTTGGAAGTGAAAACCTAAACAAGACTAGAACTCAGTGATAAAAGGATTAAGCCCCAAATTGTCATAACTTATTTATTACCCGTCTGATCTGTGAATAACCGAGAGTTGACATTATAGAATCACAATAGTGTGGAAGTTTCCTCATTGAAATTGTTACCTTGCTTTCTTTCTTGTAGGAATAGAATATAAACCAGTTGAAAGCAGACTGTTTGGTCTGAGAATATCATTTCAAATCATAGGTATCTTGTCAGGTATGTATTTAAAATATCAATTCATCATAAATAATGCTTATATTCAGTTAATATGTGTCAAAAACAACAAAAATATTTGATTTCCAATGAGAAAAACGCAATTGTAGTTTCCATTTCATAAATAAGTGCATACAAATTTAGAACAGATGAGATGTCAACTTACTGCCAAGTGTACACTTATGTCTATATCTACATTGATATTGACATATTTCACACCTATATCTACATATTGACATCCACATTTATATCTAGGTCTGTATCTCACTAGAATTTCCTGCAGCATCATGAGTCTATAGCCATTTTAGCAGTGATCAGCAAAATTTACCTATCTCCTGAATTCATCCATATAATGTAGGAACTCAGCATTCTGCAAAAATGCCTCATTTTTTCTGGGATTTTCCACATTGTCTCAAAGGCATGTACAGTCTCTTCATGTTCTCCTACTCAAGCTCTGCCCTCACTGGTTGTTCTCTGAATAACTGGTTGAAGGCAGTAGCCTTCCTAGACTGTCCATCAGCACCCTCCAGAGGTTAGTGTCTAGCCCAGAGCAAGTTATTTGTGCTCCCAAATCTACAAAGCCTCAACGAAGGATAAGTTAAATACTGCTACCTAAGAAAATAACTATTGTAAGACTGACACCAAAGCTAACTTGTCAAAGTATATGAAATACTTACATTTTATTGTATATGATCACTAATTTAAAAGATTTTTAAGTTTATAGTACTCAAGATCAGTTCTAAATCCAGAAATTCGAGAGAAATTAGGTAGAATGATATGAAAAAGGTCATAGAACCATAGAAATAATGGCTCAGTGAGTGTTGGTAAAATAAAATCGATTTATATCCTCTCCAAAATGAAAAGATCTTTAAGAGTCAGGTCTTGTGAAGCTCTTAGGGAAAACTGAAAATGTATTTGTAAGATCTGTAGTTTAAAGTTACTGGGGACTCTGAGGAGCAAGGGAGAATGTTGGCATATGGGATTGAGCAAAAGACCTTAGATGGTAAACAGGAACTTATTAAGTACCTGCTGTGATGCATTAGTTGGAAAATTAGCTCTATTGATTATGGCATGATGCTAATAAGCCCAAGGCTGAGTGATCTCTGTTGATTTCAGGGTCTGTTAGGTGTGCTCTTCAGTGGCCTCTAATTATAAGAAAGGCTTGGCAAGATATTTACACATGTTACTTGAGCTCAGGGTACAGCGTGATCATGGCAGCTCTATACACCCATTCCTCTGAATGCATATTCTCAAGCCATGTGCTTTCTACTAGCGATCATAACAACATCAGGATATGTATAGTCATGAACAAAAACAAAAGCACCTCTCTTAACAGTTGTTTTATTTATATTTTCCTTTGAAGTTAGTATTGGAGAATGTTGTGACATGATTTCAATAAAGCATTTTGGTATTATACATAAGAAGTCATGCAAATGTTCATACACTTTAAGAACCTTCTGAAAATTTTGCTTGGAAAATAATTTTATAACTAAAGAAGTTGTATAGGTATAAACTTATTTTAGAGTTGTTTATGTCAGGCAAAAATTAAATGCAAGCGAAATGAAATGTTAAATCATAGAAGAATGCCTTTTTCAGTTTTAGAACATTATTGTATAGACTGTTATGCATGAATAAAATAAAATATAAATATGGCAATTGAAGGAGAATATGGGAAAAACTTACGAGACAATGCTAGAAGAAAAAGCATGAAATATTAAGTACATTATGAATACAACTTTTGAATATTGAAATATGAATGCAACTATTTGAATACATACACACACATATGTATATGTGCATGCACAGAAACAAACAAACAAAAAATACAAGACCCTAGCTGAGAAAGAGAACAGCTGAGTTCAAGTGGTGGCATGCAGTATATACTATAGATTAGTGCTAGAAAATGTAGGTTCTGCAGTCACACAGGCATGATTTTAAATTTTGACTCCTCCATTTACTAGGGACCATGAGTAAATTACTTCATTATGTATATGAACTTAAAGAAAACCACACAACATGAGTTGTGAGTTTAAGTTTTATTCAGGGTCTTAGTGAGGCTATAGCCAGGAGATAGCTGCTGAGTAGCTCTGGAGAAACAGCTGTGAAGAGAGAGAGGAGAAGCCAGTTCATATATGATTTTTGGCTAGGAAATATATGCAGTCAAGCATGCATTCTTGGTAAAAGATTATTGCTAATCACAAAGAACAGATATCTCAGGTTAATGATTTTAGTACTTTTCTACATATGGGAAGATACAAGAATTTGGGGTCATTGAAATTCTTCCTAGGGTATGCATCTAACTATTTAAAGGCCAAAGTACAGAGTGACTTCATCTTGTTTTTCACCCTGAATTCCTTTCAGACTGCACTGTCCGTGGGCACCTGCAGTGGGTTCTGACTTAACCCTTATAGAACTGTCTGGTGAGCAATACACTTTTTCTTAGAGATCTTAATTTTTCCATGTCCACATATACCTAGGTCTGCTCTTCTGTAATTCTGAGATAATATATATTATTAATTCTAAGGAATTATTCTATTAGTAAAGATTATTAATTATTATCGTATGAGATAATTCTAGCCTCATAAGGATGTTTGACTCTTGAACAAGATGAGTTATACAAAGGCCCTGATCATACACTGGTACTCCATATATATTTGTTGTTATTAGAGCAATAATAATAGTACACAGTTATTATTTTTGCCATTAGTGATTTTGTAGTTTTTCAGTTTTCACTCTTTAACTTTAATAATGATATCAGCAAATATTTAAATATATAGCCCTTGTCAGGCAAGGGTCAAATGCATAGAGGGTAGAATTAAGCAAACCTGAGTTTGAAACAAGCTCTGTAATTCACTAGTTTTTCAATACTGGGAACGTTACCCATCTTCTCTGTCAGTCCCCTCGTTCATGGATTTGTTGCACTGGTTATGAAGCACTCAGAGATTTTTCAGTAAATGGCAATTTTTATACTTCACAATTCCACAAGACAGTTATATGTAAGTTTAACCTTACATACTACTACAGTTGAAGAAAGTATTAGAGAGTCAAGAAGCTATCCCAGCCATGCTGTGAATAAGCTGCTGAGTCGGGATTTCAACTTGTATTTTCTGACCTCAAAGGCTATATTCATAATTGGTATAGTATACCGTGGCTGATTTTATGGCCAGCCATCGCTATAGCCTCATCAATCTGAAATGTAGGGGAGCAAAATATGGCTACCCAAAATGTCTCTTTAGCATGAGGATTAATTTAGAATGATTATTTTTAAGAAACAGAAATAGAGATGTTACCAAAGATATTTGCAAAGAACATGGGCTGGGTGTGACGGGGAAAACTCAGAGAAGCCTAGAGAGCTCTGTCTCTGCCTGGACAAGCAAACATTTGTTTAGCAAACCCTTGCTTCTCTCTCTCCATGTGCATTGCCTTCCTCCCCTTTGAAGTCTCAAACCACTATGGCCAATATCTTTTGTCTTTTGCTGAAGATAGTGTTTAAGGTGAGGGTTTGGGCCATTTTAGCAAGTTACTCAGTTTTCTTAGATTGCCACCATGTATACATGTCATTTAACATTTTTAAAAAATATTCTCCTGTTATTCTATCTCATGTCAATTTAATTCTAAGACCAGCTAGACGAATACAGAAGGATAGGGGAAGATGTTTTGTCCTCCCTTACAGAAGAAAAAATAATGGTAAATGGAGGGCTGGAATTTTGCATCCTGGCCTGTGGGGGCTGGTGCTGTTGGGGGGTGTGGGAAGTGAAAATGCCCAGGGTTGTCACAATTGCCATCCTCTTGTCATTCTCTCTAGGGCCCGTGGGTCCCAGGCTGCAGTGTCACATACTGCCCTGACTCTGCCACCAACATAGCTATTTCAGAAACCCTTTACCCCACACCATGCTGTCTCTGGTATTTACTCTCCTTCCTTCTTTCATTCACATTCATGTAAGGCTAGGTTTCAGGTAAGGAAATCTGGGACTTCTGAGATATCTGCTTAGTTTGATATTGAATGATACCAGCTTGATATTGAATGACTTAAATGCTCGATTGTCCCTTCCCCAGACAACGAGGAGGGGACTGCTCAGGCTCCTTGTCCCTTATTTTAAGTGTAACCCCTTACTTCCCCCTGGGGGGTGCAAGTCTCCTAAGTGTCTGGGAGTTAGAGAAAAGGGATGCTTAAAGACATCCACTACTAACCGGTATCATGGCCAAAAGGAGAGAGAATTTCACTACCCACCTCTGTAAGATGAGTTTCTGTAAGATAATAATGATAAAATAAATAGCAGCCCTTTGTATTGTAGCGTAAAAAGACACAAGATATTTAAATCAAAATGTTGTTCATATCTTAGCTTGTTTCAGTAAATATTAAGTAGAAGTATATTTATTCAGATATTTTCCCCTCTCATACATTTTGAATCCACAGTCAAATATTTCCCTTTATATTCAGCCTCCCGATACCTTTTTCCATTTGGAATCGCATCAATCAATTTTACAGCTGAAGGCAGTGATGTGC